AGTTGTAGTTGCTGGGATTTATAGTTAACCTACAATCAAAGAGCATTCTGGACCCCAGCAATGATAGAATTGGGCCAAACTTGGCACACGGAGCTCCCATGACCAATAGAAAATACTGGAAGCGTTTGGTGGGCATTGACTTTGAGTTTTGGAATTGCCATTAACCTACATCCAGAGAGCACTGTGGACTCGAATAATGATAGATCTGGACCAAACTTGGCATGAATACTCAAAATGCCAAATATGAACACTGGTGGAGTTTGAGAAAAATAGAGCTTGACATTTGAAAGTTGTAGTTGCTGAGATTCAGGCATGTAGCTGAGGGGGGAGGGGCTTGGGGGGCTTCAGCCCCCCCCCTGAAATTCTCATTGTGGTCCGCGAGAAGGCCTTACTGGTACATTATTTCACCATGCTCAATATATCCCATATGCATGGGGGTATTGGGGTAACAATACAAAAGGTTTGCTAGGGTAGACCCTCTTTCACTCAGACTCAGCCCCCCCCCCCCCGAATCAAACTCAGCTCCCCCCGAAACAAAATCCTGGCTACGGGCCTGCTGAGATTTATAGTTCACCTACAATCAAAGAGCATTCTGAACCCTACCAATGATAGAATTGGGCAAAACTTCCCGCACAGAACCCCCATGCCTTGAAGGGACTCACTAGCATGATCCTCCCTCCAACCTTTTACGCTCGCTCTCCCTTGACCACCCATGCGCAACATGCAGCCATGTGCCGAGCATGCCTGCTCTCCCCTCCCTGCTTGGAGTCTCAGAAACAGCTCTTCCCTCGGCTGAGAGGCTGGGCTTTTGGTGGGAGGATTCGTCGTCTGTTTCCAAAAAGGAAGAGAAGGACAGGCAGATATATCTTCAGTCTTCTGTGCCAAAAGGGTTCCTAAAACCATCAGCAATATATGTTTTCTGAAGGTCTTTGGCGACCCCTCTGAAACCTTTCACGACCTGCCCCCCAGGGTTCCAACCCCATTTTGAGAAACACTGGTGTAGATGGACCCATAATTGAATTCAGAATACACAACAGAGCTTCTCATCTCACTGTAAGAAATTGACAGGAAGGAAGAGATGCATTGCAGATTTTAGGCATATTTATCTATAATGTTTTTATACTTCAAAAATCCTTTTCAAGCCTGGAATGTCAAATTTCTCAGTGGCAGAAAGAAGAGACAAAAAAGCAAAATCCTTGTGGGGAGCAACACTTAAAATAGAAGAAGGTTCTTCTAATTCAATACTTCAAGTGCACTTGAATGGAATACCAAGGTAGTTATATACGGGGGATGGCAACCTTCATAAATGGCATTCTTAAAGGTGAGAATGAACAATTTTTCCACTTTTTCCTTTACTGTGAGAGAAGTCCTTGCAATCTGTATAGTTTTCAGTTGCTATTTGAAGATTGTCAAATGCACAGTACAAAAAAAAATAACATGGGCCTCTTCTGTGTTATTTTCTCAGCAGCAAATCATGTTTTCTGGGCAGATACGTTGTTTTTCTGGGCAGGAAACTTACTTTCTGCACTGAAGTGAATATGTTGTTTTCTGTGCAAAACACTCACATGCACTTTTCTCCCATTAGGAATAATGCATTTTTCTCCCATAAGGAATAATGTCTGAAGTGCAAAGATTATCATCTATCCAATATTCTCCTCTTTATTGTTGTTTCCCAGCACTAAGGAAAACAATTTTTCATGTATCATTCAGGTATTTTCAAACAATTTTTCAATTTCTATTTGATTACAGAGGAAAAGGGAGGTGTTTTAAACAGCATCTGATTAATTTGCTACAAGTTTGTGTAGTTATGGTCTATTCTCTGTATGACAGTTTGCCTAGATAATAGATCATTTGATTGATGCTTTGGAATTGGTTATTTTTTTTAATTATGTAAGACTTTTAACCTGATCAGAAATATTGGGAAAAGCATCTTCAATTACTAGCATAAGTATCATTGAGCACATCAGCATACTTGCAGATCATAAAGTCTAGCAGTTTGGCAAGCAAATATTGGATTGTATTGAGGACGATTTTTTTAAAAAAATTATTGACCCTGACAAGAAAGGGTATCTTGACAAAATGAGGCACTGGGTCAAGAAAACAGTCAACAGGCCCAAGATGTTTTCTGCCTCTGGAGACTTTTTTAAAATGGAAAATATATTTGTGAAGAAAAACAACTTGGGCTTTTCCTCAAGCAATTTTGTTTGCAAACATTTTGGAACATGAAGCATGATAAAAAGGTTAAAAAAAATACCACCGTTGGGAGGAAAATTTGGAAATGATTTGCTCTGATGTGCAGTGATGAAAATAGCAATACACACACACACACACACACACACACACACATACACATACTTGTTTCATATATTTTAATAATTGAATTTAAGGACATTCACAGAAGTAAGGTTTTCAGATTCTCTGCTCCTACCTGAAGTCATTTGTACCCTTTAGAGTTACTTTTTTTCGCTCTACACAGGCCCCTTCTACACTGCCATATAAAATCCAGATTATCTGCTTTGAACTGGATTATCTGGCAGTAAAGATTCATATAGTCCAGTTCAAAGCAGATAATGTGGATTTCATTTGGCAGTGTAGAAGAGGTCTCAGAGAATGGGATAGCTCCTCTTTTGACTCAAGAGTTAAGGCACAAGACTTCCCTTGACCAGTGGATAAGATGACCCAGGTTTTGGGGGTCAATTTTTTTGTCTAAACTATCTAGATCTAGATCTATACATGAGTATATACAGTATATACAGTAATAATGTATCAATTGCTAACCCTGGCAAAGAAGACAAGTTAAATTGCTGCTCTTGCTGCTGTCGTCTTAGTCAGCCGCCAAACCTTTCACTGTCTACTTCTGTCTTACACTTTCTCAGTTGCTCCTTTTTTTCTCCCTTTTGTGTTCACCTCAAGTGACACAAGTAAGAGTAGTTCAAAGCAAGCAACAACTGAAACATACAAGTTCCACCAAACTACACACCAACTATGATTAATAAGACAGAACCTATTGCCATTAAACTGAGACCTATATCAGCTAAGATTCTTCTATTGTTAGAAGCATTAATATTGCTGTTATCACAATACAAAAGTGAATCAATTAAATGAACATGTTAAAACCTGACATGCAAATTCCATGTTGTATTTTATCTATTACCTTAATTATCACATCCAGTTCTAGAAGCCTATTGCTGCTTTGGTGACTTCAACTGAGGACGTCATCAGACAGGCTGGTGGAAAGTGGGGGAAAGCGTTGGGAAGAGTGGGGACCTGTCTTACCCCATTTTCAGAAAGGTCCAGCCAGCCATCCCACATCCTTTCTCTGTCTCATTGCCACTCCCCCACACTTCCCCCTGCTTTCTTGAATGAGTTACCCGACTCCTGAAAATGGAGTCATCTCTCCATTTTAGCATGCTGGTAAGACGGATTCCCACGGGCAACCACCGGAAGTAGCTGTGCATCATGGCATGGCTTCTGTGGGACTCCATTTTGCAAGCATGCTAAAGCAGAGAAAACAGAGGAAAACTTCTATGTGATGAAGTCCTATGTCAAACATCCACTGACAGAGGTACTCACTGGCACTTTGTTTTCCATGCTGTTTTACTATTATGCAACATGGGACCTTACACACCCATTTCATGGACAAGCAACTCACTTGGGAAGCCTGTCGTGATTCTTCTACCACCATGTGTAGCAATGGTGGTTGAACCCTAGAAAGCAAAATTGTTCTATCACAGTCCTTTTTCACAACTACTTGGTAAAACTGACTTACACCACTTCTCTCTTCACTAAAGTTATATTTGGAGATTTTCCAATCTTCTTGCTTTTCTGCTCAACCGGTGTTCCTATTCCCAGCTTCCCTTACTTCTTCCTTTTCTTTCATGAGCTAGTCTATGATGTGTGGCTAGATACCCTTGCAGTTTCCTCTCTCTCTTGCTTCTGTTTGCAAGCTAAAAATCCAGGAGCCTCACCAGCCACAACAGGACCATGTCCATTCTTATACTAGAACATGCATTCACTGATACAATTGCTTGTTGGAACTAAAAACTGCCAACGGTTCATTGCAAAAAACAGCCATAGCTGACGCTAGGTGGTGTAGCAAACCAATGCACTAGAGGGCTTTCATCTCTTGAGACCTCAAATAATACTCAGCTTGGGTCATTGCTTAGATTGCAGAGTGGATATAATCTTTAGCAGCTCTCCATGCTCACCAAACTGCTTCCTACTATTTGGTGCAGTTATCAGAGCCAGTCAAAATATAAAATTGTCAAAACATCTGCAGAACTCAAAGGTGGGGGAAACCGACACACACATTTTAGTTCCTTATCTACTAATTGCATTTAGCTGTTGCTCTTTTGGTGCAATTTCCTTTGAAAAAGAATTAAGATCACAATGACAATTAAGGTATGATAATGAGTGTAAATATATCAGTCGCTTGACTACGACAGAAAGCTTTGCTACTTGGAAGGAGTAGATACCCCCCTGCCCCCTCAATTTTTCAGTTCCCGTTATTATTGCTGGAACCGATCACAAATCAGTAAGTCTCCTGATGCTCATGTGTATCATACAGCACAAGGCATGCTTGGCAGGCATCATCCCCTCCACAATATTCAAACAGTGTGGCTTTCCTATATAGATTTATCCCATGGGGGTATATTTCTAGAAGTGTGAGCCATAAAATAATCTTAGGCATCCTTCTCTTCTTCCTCTTGAACAATTTTAATTTCCATCAAAGCAATGTTATAACTCAGACTGCCAAAGATTCCTACATTATTTGGCTATATCAACTCGCATGCTCATGTGCCAATCCTATATATAGAAACGGCACAACTCAAGCTGGCACGGGGGGATTGTTCGCTTGTTAAGTTAAGACACTCTGAAAGATGCATGCACAACAGGTAGGAGAACATCACACACTGTCCTTTCATTTGCAAGATTTCCTCCTCCCTTTCCCCACTATAAAATCATAAGATGAGCAGGTTAAAGAATAAAAATGCACTCACCAGTTTCGCAGTATGAGGCTGAAGAGAAATGTGCTGGTGATAATAGTCCAGTATTATTTTCATTCAGTGTAATCACATTGCTTTCTCTTTGGCATTCTCATGTGATTAAGCTTCCGGGAAAAAGAGAGAGAGAGAGAGAGAGAGAGAGCGAGCGACTGTGTGAATCTTTCTCCAATACTGAGTGAATAATTAAAACAACGACAACAATGTGTATTCCCTATAAGCACCTGCTGAAGTTGAAGATCACGACTGCACATCATAAAGCAAGCGAAGGAACAGAAAAATCTCTAGCAGCAACATGAAGCAATAGCCAAATAAACACATTTGGATTCTTCAATACTTTTTTACCCTCTTAACACTGTAGCTATTACCTGGCATCACAGATTCGTGTTCATGTTGTCAAGGAAGCCCCCGGCTATATGATGCAATATATATGCTATTATCCTGTTCGTTCTCTCCCTCTCTCTCCCTCTCCCTTTCAGAACTGATCACTTCAGCAAGCAAAAGGTGGCAAAGGGTGAGTGGGGTGGAAAGGAAAAGTAACTGCTGTCCAGAGTAAAACAAAGCTGAAATGGTAAGCAACTGCTACTGGACTTAATGGTTGCATTAAGGTAACCATTAAAACCCCCAGTTTTTGTAAAATCCATAAGAAGGGAACAAATCCAAGCCCATTGTTTGGTCGTGCACTTCATGAGCACATCTGATGAAGTCCTCTTTCATTTGCCAAGCTTGCAGTCCAGCTGTCCGCAATCACAGCAACAAAAGCAACAACCACATCCACAGCTCTGGGACATCTGCAAAATCCTGGGAATGCTACCAGCCAGTACTAAACAGGTTAGCCAGCAAAAGGTTATGAAAGCAGTTCAGGCAAACCTGAAACAATGCGGCTCCATCTGTGTATGAATGTAAGCTCTAGCTGCAAATCATTCTCAGTACAATGAACTATATCACGATAATAATAATAATGTTAAAGACTGAGTAAAATATGCTATTTCAAACAAACAAACAAACAAGCCAGATTCTCCCCAGTGAAAAAAAGGATTGCAGGAGTGCAAACTGAAAAATAAAGCTATGTAGTGTTTTTTAAAGAAAAGAAAGAAATCTAGGATAAATATGATCACCCATTATTCTATACATCCCTGGTTCATTTCAGCCAAGTGCCTATTAAGTGCCTAGCAACAGAATAAAATTAAGAAAGCATTTAGGACATTTTCTTCAAATCGTGTCATTTTCACTTGTGTGCAACTTGGTCCTGTGCATTTTTGTAGCCCAGCTATGCAAGGGAACAAAAGCAGTATCACTCATGTGGAGTACCACATCATCAAGCCCTTTCCTAATTATTTTCAGCATCTCCCAAAAACCCAAGAGGTATGGAATATAAACAAGCATACATTAGTTATTCCTTAACACACTTTAACCGTCATATCAATCTCTCAGATCAGAATAGTTAAAGATAGAAAGGAGGTGCTTTCAATTATGAATATAGTGTGTGGGGGTGTGTGGGGGCTCCAACTTGCATTAAAAATGTAATTATGTTATCTGGTACTGAAAGTAGCAATTGTCAATGCAAGTTCATGTGTACCTGGCAAAACCAGAGATACGGAGATCTTTTGCAGAGACATGTGGAATGCATAGTTGGTTTTATGTCACACTTCAATTAAAATGAGGAAAATTTGCTAAAATAAAAAAGCAGGCAAATAAAACATAGTCCTTTTATTTTGACATTTTTAAAAACAGAAATAATAATAGAATCATAGAGTTGGAAGAGACCACATGGTCCATCTAGTCCAATCCCTTGCCATGCAGGAAAAGCACAATTTATCCCTGACAGATGGTCATCCAGCCTCTGTTTAAAAGCCTCCAAAGGAGCCTCCTCTGGATTTTGAGACAGAGAGTTCCACCGCTTAACAGCTCTTATGGTCAGGAAATTCTTCCTAAAGTTTAGGTGGAATCTTCTTTCCAGTAATTTGAACCCATTGCTCCAAGTCCTTCCTCCTTATGGCATCCTTTCATATATTTCTATATTGCTATCATGTCTTTGCTCAACCTTTTCTTCTTCAGGATAAAGATACACAGGTCTTTAAGATGCTCCTCATGATATCCAGACCCTTGATCATTTTAGTCACCATCCTCTAATTGGATGATTGGATATACCAAGTCTACAAGAGAAGAAAACATGCTAACAGCTACAACTTAGTGAAAGAAACAGGAAAAAAAATCCAACTGGGCTGTTACATGTTCCTGGAAAAGGGTTGGGAAGGTGCTAGGCCAGAGATTTCCTAACTGAGTGGTTCATTCAGAAGGCTAAATGCAACAAGATGTCCTTCAAAATTATAGCTATTTTAGTCATATAGGCAGACTGAGGGCAAAGCAAACAAGCAGATATAATTACTTTACTGCAGAGAAGAGAGGGAAAAACTTGAAAGAGCAATTCCAAACTTGGTTACAATAGCTTGGATAGTTGTCATATATTATCTTGCCCTTTGCTGTGGTGCACACAATCAACTCAGATAATCACATGTGGTGGTCTTCAGTTGTGCTCAGTCCGAACAGTGATAGACACCAATGCAGATACTCAATTCACTGGCTAAGCCATACACAAAAAAATGTTGAGTATAACTTGAAAATGGAACATGGAGCCCTGGAGCAATGTTTCTCTTCTATAAAGTTGCTCCAGATGGGATTGAGCAAATGAACCAGCAACTTGACTCTGCGGGATAAATAAGAAGCTCCATTTGAATGCCAGCTTTTTTGCCTTCAAGCCGTTGTTTTTGAAGACACAATACACACTGGATGAATTAAAACCCTATTATTACACTCATGTTTCCCTCCTTCCCTTAGCTATTGAAGTAATGCACCTTTGACTTATCACATGGCAGATGAATGACTCCTCCCAATCCATCGGATGTTTCCCCAAATCACAGTCATCCTTTTTATAAAATTTTGGCAGATCATGCACAACCCCACAATTCTGTGACTTCAGTCCAAATTGAGAAACAAAAAACATATTTTGATCCTGAGGAACAGCACACAATTAAAAAAAAACAAAACCCTAAGATCTGTTAAATGACTTCAAGCCATGCAAATCTCATGATCTGTGAATCACTTCGTTCCATGGGAAACCCAGGATCTGCTAAACCACTTCAAGCTATGCAAACCTCGTGATCTACAAATCCACTAAATTCAATGGGAAATCCACAATCTGTTGACAGAGGGTAAGCTGCCAACGATGCCTCAAATACCACACCTCTGATGCACATGGAGAAAAAAAGGAAGAGTGAAGACATTGGGAACCCCATCTTACAAAAGATTCTATCTTTGCATATGGCTTCCTATGGGTTATCAGTGAAACAGATCTTGCATTGTGTGATGAGACTCATAGGAATCAGTGTGCAAAGGACATCAGAGATGGGGTATTTTAGAGTGTGATAAGGTCCTTAGTGTTTTTAAAAAACCATGAAACAAAGAGAAAATTAGATGGAGTTTCTTAGATTACCATAATAGGAGTCGGGATTATACTTCAATGAACAGAACTATCTAAAGATGAGTACATTTAAAGAACCATGTTTTCTACCAACTGTTATACATATTTAGGACTTCATCACATGGCAGCTTCCCCCTCCCCAATTTCCAAACATTTCGAAAACAGTTCATAGGCAAAGTACCACAGAACATATCATATGATGCAGATAGACTTCTGGCTTTCATCCATGGTGTTTTGTCAGTGACCTGTGTCAGAAGTCTGGAGAAGGGGGAGAGGGGGAGAGACTGAAGCTGGAGAGAAATTGTCTTCTGAGCTCCTGATGTACCTAAAAATGAGAGAAAGTTCTTAAAACCACGTGGGATGGGATCTGCCAGATTTGCCCATTTGAATCTTATCTTAAGAACGGTGACTTGGGTCTCCTCTAGAGTAACAGGATGGGGTGAGGGAGTCAATTATCCCAAAGGTTGTGTGCAGCTTGTGAATGATGCCTTGAGTCTCCTCTAAGCAGATGGTTGAGGTGGGAGAAGGTGGTCCTATATGATGGGAGTAAGTAAATTCTATGACTTTTTAAAAAACAGAATCCCAGGCAAAGAAGATGATTTTCCATGCTTTCTTCCATTTTTCCTATCTTCTGTCTGATGAAGTCCTTAGTTGGATTTCTGACTTGCATGAATAAAGATGGTGGGAATGCGAGAGGGGAGCTGACATTGCCACTGTGCCTTGGTTAAACAAAACCAGAATACTTGAAAGGGGCTAAAATATCTCCTTAAGCTTTTACCAAAATTTTCTACCATTTATCTAATTCTGCCTACAAACTCCCCATTGCCATTCTCTGTTTTACAAGCACCTATGTTATCCTTTTATACCACCAAAAAGGATCCAGGAAAAAAGAAACCTCAATTATAATCACATATTTGCTGCTTCTAATGAGAGCATCACCACAGTATCTATGATGCTGCTTATGTAAGTTAACTTTCCAGGCTATCGAGATCCCAAGTGGGGAGCAAATGCCTGCAAACTATACTGATTCACAGAATAAATTAAGAGTTAGTACCAACAAGGAATCTGTCTACATCCAAGAGCTGTCTTCAGACATTTTTATGGGCTATCTCACTCTGAGGAAAGGAGCAATAGTTCTTCCCATAGAAGCAGAGAGCAACACATAAATTGAAATGTAGGTCACTAGAATGTGCATATATATAAGTGCAGAGATATGCATGTTCACATGAAAAAACCCAAACAGAATAAACTTGCTTTATCCATATAATGCCTTTTAATTTTGTTTCATAAAAATTATATTATTTATTAATTTTATTTATATGTCATTGTTCTTCCAGAGTTGAACCCAAGGCAATTTTTAGAAAGTGTCAGTTACAAAAAAACAAAACAAAACAAAACAAACAAACAAACAAAAACAAAACACTGAACAATAACCATTTAAAACAATTAAAATCACCACATAAACCAATACAATAATTTAGAAGACATCCATTTTTTTAAAAAAAAAGATAAATAAAACACCCCAGTAAAGTGTTTTCCTGCATATACATTAAAAGTTTGCTAAAACAAAAAATGTATTTGCCTGCCAGTGAAAGGAGAGGGATCCAGCCTGACCTTCAGTAGAAGGATGTTCCAGAGCAGGGGTAGGGAACCTTTGGCCCTCCAGCTGTGGTGGACTTCAACTCCCACAATTCCTTGAGGCTCGGCATTCGCCCCAAAGGCTTACCTTGGCCCAATGCCGAGCCTCAAGGAATTGTGGGAGTTGAAGTCCACCACAGCTGGAGGGCCAAAGGTTCCCTACCCCTGTTCCAGAGGGTGGAAACAGCCTATTGAGAAGGCTCTCTCCTGTGTCCTCACCAATGACCTCACCACATTGAGATGGGAAAGCATGAGTGACTGTCCTTTCAGCATAGAGTATTGTCCCTCTTATATCATCAGCAGTCCCATTTCAAGTTCTGCTTCCCCATCACACTCACGTGTGGAAATCTAAAAGCTGGCAATACATTCATCTAACATTCATCACATGGCCAGCATTACTTTTTTTTAATCAGGAGAAACAACAATATCCAAAAGCCAAGAGATCTCTTGTCCTATCCAAAGCCCCTTACATTAAAGGAGACTGACACCAGTTTTAAACCACTTCTTTCCATGGGATAAAATTGTTCTGCCCCAAACCCCATATAATGCAAGAGACAGTTCTCCATGTTAAACCCATTTATTTCCTTGGGATAATGTTGTTCTGCACCTTACTTACTTACTTAGGCGATACCTCGTAGCTC